GTCAGCAGGTGCAAAAGGTACAGGCATACTGGCAGTGTCAGAGGGCTAGTCAGAGGCACTTACGGGACCCATAAGAGTTGGCACTGGGAGAAACAGCCTATTTTAAACTTACATTTCAGTCAAGAGTAAAAGATCAAATGTATTTATAATTATTGCCATCATGCTAGCTGACAACAGATTGACCTTTTCCTCCATGCACCATCCAGCTCCACCAGTATGCATGAGAGCTGCCGTCAGCCAGGTCAAAAAGGATATTTGCAATTGCACAAAGCTGTCTGTCTAACCCTATACATTTAATATTAGCACTGATGAGTGATGCTTGGAGACTCTCCAGCCACGGGTTAGCTGGTGACAGGAATCCCCCCAAGAGTAGGGTAGCTGCTGTGAGTAATTGGTCAGGAACCTGGTGCATACCAAAATATTCAGAAATACGCAGCAGGAGCTTTCCTGCGGGGTCCAAGGGAGTTTGTGCAGCTAATTCAGAGGCTAGAATATGAAAAGTGCATTGTTTTCCTCACTAACTCACAAAAATAAAATGGGACTGTGGTGGCCTCTGACATCATTATGTGGTTGTCACTCAGTCGCAATTGAACATGTTCAGCCAGGTAGCTCCAGTAGCTGCTGGTGGTGTCCAGGCATGGGGTTGTGGGAGGTGGGAACTGTTAGCTTTTCTTTTTCATGTGTTACTTGCCCTTCCCCTCAGCATGTCACCTTCAAGGCTGACCTTGACCAGGGCTCAGCAAGGCTGTGCATGCTAATGTGCAGCAGAAGGGGTGCCTGCTTTACTTTGGTGCTGGGAGAAAGAAAAGCTACTGCAAAGCTGAGAGTCGTTTTCCCTCTTATAATGGTAGCAGCAGGAATGTTGTGTGACACTGACCCAAAGTTCCCAGGCTGTGGTTGTTACATTTGTTGTTGTATTATGACTCAGTTATTCTAACACATCAACAAATGTAATCTTTTATTTGCCCCTTCCTCAGAAAAAGGACTTCTCATCTTCCAGTGATAGACATCTTGGCTCTGACAGAAATTCAAGGTCTTCTACTTTGTGCCTTCAGCCTCCTTAGGCCAGCAAAAGTGCTGATAGTGGAAAAGAAGGTCTTATGAGTACTAGCAAATCCTACATATACATTAAATCCCCAACACATTCTGTGTCACAGAATATGTTGGTAGCCTCTCATAAACTACTTGCAGTAGTTTATGTCTCCACTAATGTGTTCCTGAAGCCAGAAGCCCTTTTCAATGCAATGCAAATGGAATAATGTGAAATAAAAACATTCTGGATAAATGTAGGGAGCAGAGTTGTCAGCAACCAGGCAGGAGGAAAGGCAGATCTGGTTTGTTAGGCATACATTACAGCGTGTAGCTAACAGTGACAACAGATACATGAATTGCTCTGGCCTTCTTGGGGAGATACTGACCCAGAATCCACTTGGAGGGAAGAATAACCATTCCCTTTAATGATGCAAAATCAGACTAGGTTGAAAGAGCAGTGACCCCTGTCATATAAAAAAAAAAAATATTGCCTGTTCTTACTATGACTTTTGTTGGGCAGTAGTTCACTGAAGCTTGCTCATTTAGGAGTGATAAATATGAGAATGCTTTGTTGCGCTCGTTCTTGCCTCCTACCCTGATGAAATGAACTGTCCAGGGGCTCTGCCAAACAGGGAAACCTAAGGGATATTTAACGACATGCAGAAGCTGAAGGGAGACTCATTAGTGCTCAAGTGTCTAAGTAACTCTTTTAAAAGCTAAGATGAAAAACTTTGATGAAAGTGACCTTCATGCTTGATGTTCCCTCTTTGCTTTTCTCCACACTTGAAGCTCTAATAATCACTTTTTTTCCACTTTGTTACTGTATCACTTAATTCATGAAACATTTCCATAGCTCAGCAGGAATTTGGCTAGTAGTATCTGCAAGCATTGGATGCATGCAAAACAAAGGCTGATACAAAGGGTCAGATCTTCTCTTTGTAGTGAACTGAACAAAAACTGGACATAAGTTGCTAGATACAGGTTTTTAATATTTTAATTAATACTTGATTATAGGTTTAAGAAAAGATAAAATTATCATCAAATGTTTCTTTGAGTATGCCATGCTGTCCCCTCTGAGCAGTGCAAAAATTTGCTGGAGAGCACAAGGAAAGCATGTTGGGAATGGAAAGAGTATGTACAACGAGGGCCTTGTAACCCTGGGGACTCTTGGGCAGCAGACTGAAAATGCAGTGTGTGCTGAAGGAGGATGACATGTGTAGTCATGTCTAGACCAAATGAGAGGACAGGGAAGAAAGGAGATATGGCATTTGAGTAGAAAGGAAAGGAAAGAAGAAATAAGGAGAGCATTAAGTGCCAATAGTCAGACTGGAAGACAAGAGTAAGAAGGAGCCATTTGGGAAGGAGTTCCCTGGAGTAGTTTTCTTTATTTTTGATTTAAAATTGCAGCAGGCTTTTGTAATTGTGACTGAAACTGAAATTAATGGCCCCATTTGAGATACCAGTGCCTGCATGATTGCTTGAAACAGGGAATAGTTTAGGTAAAAATAATGTATCTTTCTTTTAAGATAATTAAAGTTTTATTTTGCTTGAAATGGAACTTTTCATAGGGTGTTAATGGCATAAATCATGCTGATGTTTCTTTAGCTTACATTGAGCAAAAGAATAAAAAGTTTATTTTCCTGCATTGAAATAATTCTTTTAGCTTATTTTTCATTCTGAATTTTTCATTGAAGTGAAAAAAGAGAAAATAACAGTTTTACCAAAAATTATTCTTGTGATTTTTGAAGCTCTTAAGTGTTCCTGGAGACGTGGAGGACTCATAACACATTCTAGGGTAGTTTCCTCCTAATTTGCATGGAGAAAATCTTCCTCTGATGTCAGCTACAAGTGCATACAGATGAAGGTACGTAACAGGCTTTTTCATTGCCTTGCAGAAGTGGTTCTTAGTCTGACTGACCTTGGATGAAGTTTAAAACTCAGAATGGAGTCAGGCTCTTCTCTGTGATGCCAAGCAATAGGACAAGAGGCAACAAGCAGAAATGATGCACAGGGAGTTCCACCTGCATATGAGGAAGAACTTCTTTACTGTGTAGGTGACTGATGCCCAGAGAGGCTGTGGAGTCTCCCTCACTGGAGATATTCAAGAACTGTCTGGATGCAGTGTGCTCTAGGATGACCCTGCTTGAGCAGGGAGGTTCGACCAGATGACCCACTGTGGTCCCTTCCAACCTGCTCCATTCTGTGATTTTGTGTTCACCCTTCACAGGCAACTGAGATGCCATGTCCCTCTGGTAGGTCTGGCATTGGAGCACCATGGCCTTAGGTAGGTCTGAGTTGATGACAAGTGATGCTGTCAGGCTCCCCTCAACACAGTGAAATGCTTCTTGTCCACTCTGGAGAAGAGCAGTTACCCCTCCAGGTATCAGAGATGAGCAGTTCCTTCTCCAGATATCCTCAGATTGGAAAAAAGCCCTGCGTTTTTAATCAGCAAATAACTTTGGATAAAGCTCAGCTAAAGGGGAAAAGGTGGTATTAATTTTCATAGAGATTGGGTTGTGGAAAAAGTAGCATTATTCTCTCAGAAATTAATTGTAGGTACCCAACTGTCATGTAACCTATTAAGTATGTCAGGATATTTTCATCTTTGTGACTTCATTCCCACTGAGAATTTGTTCAGGACATGTGTTAACTTACAAGTAATATATAAACAAGGTGTGAACAGTTCAGTTTAGTGGTAACCTGAGGTTAAAAACACAGTGATCAAATTCAGTGTCTGAAGTTGGCAGGGAGATTGTCTTACCACCTTGGGAAGACTTGAAATTAAACTTGTTTTGAAATGTAGGTGTTAAGTCTGTGAAAAAAAATCACTTGTGCATCTAAATGAAGCAGTTTTCCGAGTTGAAGAGAGCACGTTGAGCTCTTAGGCTGCCTTAGGAGAGAGAGGGCCTGTGCTCCCACCATGTAACCTTTCTGCTGGGGTTACATTTTGTAGCATCTGTGAGGAGAAAATCTTTAGGTAAAATCAGAGCTGTACTCCCTGTCTGGCTGCCCTTGGCCCCTGTCACCAACAGCAGGTAGGGCTGTGCTGTCAGCTGCTTGAGCTAACAAAGACAACAGCTTTGGGTTTATTTTTGTTGGGCTTCTGAGACCTTATTAACTTGAAGAGAGTTTTTGGAGATACTGAATTTCTGCACTGTGCTTCTGTTTAGCTTTTTGTTCTCCCTGGTGTTGCCTTCAAGTAAATGTATGGGGAGTAGCCTTAAAAGGAGCAAAAATTCCTTCCCATTTTAGAGTAAACAGGAGGAGAATTAAGCTCCTTCCTGTAGTAATTGGATCTTCTGATTGCCATGGCTTTTGAAGATGATGGTGTATTTTCCTGTATGTAATGGATTATGCATGTGCCTGTGAACTAAAAGGTAGCTTGGCTGTGAAATTCCAACGAGTTTTTCTCTACAATCATTTTACTCTGGTTGTTTACCTTGTAGGCTGACCATGGGCGTATACCATCCTAGCCTACAGCATGAGGCAGGGGAAGTCCAGTTGTTGTGTCTTGCATTCTTCTCAAGCCATAGGCAGTGACTGTCTGGGACCCTTTGGAAAATGAAAGCCCTTGCAAGGTTACAGTATTGAGGATTCAAATGAATGTGGGAACAGAGGTGAAAGTGGAATGGATGGAAAGCTCCTTAAGCTGGTTGAAGTGTAACCCAGTTCATCTATGGAGTAAACCGCAGCTTTCTGTCACCCCTGGTCAGCAAAAAAAAAGCACAGTTGCAGTTGGCTTGTCAGTATCCAACCACTGTCTTCAAAGCTTGTCTGTTGTCTCAAGATTTCTAATCTCAGGGTTTAAATTTGGATGATAGCTGTGTCTCTAGGTCTGTGTTTGTGCAGTAATGCACATGGTATATTTGAAGACCATCCTACCAGCGGGCCTCCAAAGCACTCATGATATGTAAATGTTACAATCACTGTTTTGCATAAACCACAAAGCCTTTCCTTTCTTTTGACAGATTGAAGACATCGTTACAAGAATGCAGGATGACAAAACAGGTGGAGTTCCCATCCGCACTGTCAAGAGCTTTCTGTCCAAAATCCCCAGTGTCGTCACTGGTAAGAACCCTGGTTAACAGAGAAGAGAACATAAGCTGATACTTGCTGACTATAAGCAAACATGCTAAAGCCACAAAAAAGTAGGAACATAAGGAAAAAATGCCTCCGTCTGCTTAATTTTTCTGCACATTGTTCTGTTACAGGCTGAAGCATTGAACAAATATTTCTTAATTATGTTTTAATAAGCAAGCATTTATATTTCTTTGGGATGAGTTATTAAAAAATGTTATATAGCTTTTGTGGCTATCAGAGTATCACCAGTCAGAGTCATTCCCTATGACAGGGGTAGGACAATCTTAGGCAAGAGGTCAGGAAAGAGAGTTGAAAGTATTTTCTCACTCCTATGCAGATACTCCTACTGGACTTGAATTACAGGTAAAGGAATGTGAAATACCTTTCATGCATGTGTGCTGCTTTATTAAAGCTCTATGTACAAAAGCGTGGGTGGTGCAGAAACTGGGAGCGAGAGTACAAAACTGTTCTTCCATGTATTTCCAGACAGAGTATCTTCCAGTGCAATGGAGACTTTTGCCATTGATAGATGATGAGTGATTCAGGATGATGTGAATTGTATGGAGGATTTGCATTTGGCTTTCTGGTACCCATTTTCAAAAGTAGTATTGACTACAGTGGCAAAAACTACTATTTTCCCTCTCTCCACCAGTAGACCATTGTCCAGTGTGAGATACCCAACTACTCCTGACACTTTGAATTTATAATGTTGTGTATCTTTGTAAAGCAAATACAGTTTTCTCTGTCTTGCTGAGTCTCTTTCCAAATCAGACCAGATACTCACACTGATGAGTCTGTTTAGGGAAGTTTCCCCTCCTGTTTTGAGAAGTGAGGGGCATCATTCTCTGTGACTGTGATTTCACTGCAGTAAAATTCAAATGGTCATTAAAAATGTAAAAGTTGCATTATTGCATTTAGACACCACCAATAACTGAGAGAAGACTGACACTTCAAAGGGACCTTTCTCGCTCTTGGGATTTTTATCCTATTGTAAAGTAATGGAAAAATTCCTCTTGTCAACAGGGATGCTGGCAGTGCAGCTGGTGTCAAAGCATTGCAAAGAGGGTTCCCTGCAGAGGAACATATGTGATACTTAAAGCACTTAAAAAATGTTTTTACTGTAAAAATTGTTGGACTGAGCAGAGTTTGAAGTTGTTTTGATTGATTCAGGAGAGTGATTTGATTTCCTTGCATCAGAAAAAATGTCCGACTTAAGCTACAGGAATGGAATACAAATCTAAAGGGTTCCTGGGGGTAAGTCAGGCAATATAAAAATTGGAATGACGTTTTTACTTAAAGGTATCTCAGTCCAATTATTTTCTTTTTATTGAGCAACAGACTCTTCTGTTTGAAATTGATTTCAGGGTAGTGACTCAGTGTAACTGGCAGTTTCAGGGTTAGGGTTTTACAGGGGAAAAGAAACATGAATCCAGAATGAGATGTGAAAATTATGTTACTAAATTGCAGGTTATGGCTGGATCAGGTATGAGCTAATTATTCTTGAAGGTTCCTGGGGAAAACAACCAGTTTTCTGATTTGAAAACTTATTGCATAAGCTCAAGTCTGCAATACACAGACTGGATGTCTTAGGATTGACTCAGCTAAAACAGGTTTCTGGTATTCCCGTTCATATTCATAGCATTAAAAAAGTAATTGATCTAATCATCAAGGTACCTCATGTTACTCAAAAGAAAAAGGAAACAGGAGACCTCATAGCATCTTTAAACCATAGTTAGGAGCTCCCTGGCATGATTGAAACTGCTCCTTTGCACTCGGTTCTGGAACAGGAGCTGCAAGTGCATTGTCTTGAAATGGTTGGTTTTCACAACACAGGGAATAGTGAGAGGGTGAAGATAAAATAAGAATAAAACCTCTCTCCAAACCTCACAAAAAATTCTCAGATTTGGAGGGGAACAAGCTCAGTACCATTCCCTTCACGTGATTTGAAGACACCTCCCTTGTGATGCATGGACAGTGCATGAAGCTTCTGAGTTTGAAAAGTGTAGGAAAATAATAGCCCAGCTGAGAGCCCAAAGTGTTCTCCATTTCTCATTTCTCCTTTCAGATGCATACACCTGCCTATTTGCAGACCAAAACCAAAAGAAATGTATCTAAAATATCAGTACTTGTGATGGGTGAAGAGGCAACAGCATCTACATTTGAATGGAAGCTGAGGACACTGCATTTGTTCAGTCTGGGGAAGGAAAAACTGAAGGGAAAGAGAGGCTATAGAGAAGACAGGATCAGATCCTTTCTCTGGAGTGCATGGTGAAAGCACCAAAGACAATGTACACACATTGGAGGGAAAGAAATCCCAACTAAATTTAGATTTAGGGGAAAAAGTTATTTATGGTCAGAGCAGCTGAGCATGGGCCCAGTGGCCTGGAGAAGCTGTGGAACCAGTGGTTTGCAGCTGTTCAGGGACCTCTGAGCCCAGCTGAACTGAGCAGTCTGACCCAAATGTGCACTTGGCCTTGCTTTGGATGAAGTTTGCACTAGGCAACCTCCAGAGAATCTTTCCAACCTGAACTATTCCTATGATCATTGGATACTCAGTTTTAGTGCTTGTCTAATTCTGCACAAGGTCATGAACACAAGAGGAAGAGCTTGTATTTTCAAAAACGTGGTGCCCCCTCTTGGGAAGAGCTTAATTCTAGAGCCTGGCGTTCTCACACACTTTTTATTTCTACCTGAAAAATAAAACAGCAATGCTGAGATGTGATTTACTTGGCAGGCTCACAGTGACTGTGATTAACAGGGATTTATTTTTGCTTGACACTTCTATTGTAATTGCTTCTCACAGGAGAAATGTCAAATCTTAGAGAAAAAGAAATATTACAGGAGTGCTTTGGTGCTCTAAACAGGCAGCTCTGTTTATAGTACAGCAAAGTGGGTGTTTGATTTAAAGTTTGAATACCAGGGAAAGAACTGCTCATCTGTGTTTTGCTTTCATCTGTCCTGATGCCTTAGGTGTGAATGAGGCATTGGGTAATATGACGAGAAGGAGCCTCAGGGAGTTATCATTAATGGTCCTTCCTTGACAACAGGAATCTGGGAAAAAGGATGGAAAAAACTTTTTTGAATGTATGATTAGTCTGTGTGGGGATACTGTGACAAAGACACATTTTAATCTGCATTAGAGGTAGCTTTGCATACCTACTTCTCCAGCTTTTGGCTCAAAGTAGGTCAGTCAAAGGAGGACATATCACACCATTATCTTCTTGGTTAAATCTTCACTTTTACAGACAAGCCATATAGAATGAAAGTAAGATGGAACCAGTCTGTGTGGCATCTGTGTGCATGTGTCAGACATTGTCCAATGTTAAGTTTAGAGTATGGAGTGAAAAAATGCCTGAGAGCAGGTATTGAGTAGTGTTGTGATCCATGCCCAGAATGGATTGTGAGCCAATGCACATGATGGCAGTTGCTGCAATAAATGGAGTTGTACATTTGTCTTCTAGTGAGAAAAAATTTCCTCGGTAATGATTTTGTTTCTGTAAATGAATTGGCAATTCTCTATTTTCCCAGTCATCAGACTCTTGTAAGAACATCTCATTATACTAACTAGCAACAAAACTGTTTTTCTTTTTTTTTTTTTCAATTTTCTTGTAATTGCACCTTAAAACTAACCTCCTTTTTATTAGGAGTACCAAAACCACACTTTCTTCTCCCACTGATTCAGACTTGGTCCTATATAACGTTGCCAGAACAAGTCAAAGAGAAGTCAGTGCTGCAACAGCTAAGCTTTCCAGTGCAAAAAGCTGCCTTCATGCTTCCCAGTTTGCCCCACACTCCCAAACTCATTCCAGATTCTCCTGGGGTTTTTTTGTACTGATTCTGTGTACCAGCATCTTTGCTACCATAACCCAAGGGAGACATGCAGCCTAAAATCCTTGCACTATTCTGCCCTCCTCCCAAGAGATTTTGAAACAGCTGCATTCTGACCCATACCCCCGACTTCAAGCGGGCCTGTCCCCATAGCTCCATTTTGAGTGACGCCTCCTCCTCCCAGCAGCAGTCCCCTAGCTGGTCCCTTGCTCACTCACTGTTCCTCACCCTTACACCAACACTCAGTTCTCTTCTTGCGCTGCTCCCAGAGCTGCTTGAGTGGCTGTGAGCAGACTGATGGGTTATGTCCTGGCTGCACTGTCTTGGATTAACTGCTGCCATGCAAGCTTCATGCACACAAACCTGCCAGTGCATTTCACTCCTGTCCTGTCATGTCTGTCTTATGTAAGTCCTGGACCTCTCTGAGCAGAAAGTGCCAGTATTCCTGAAATGTGCCAGATGGCCTGTCGCTACTTGAGACTCAAGAGCTAAACCAAATTTAAACTGCCGTGTGTCTCTTGTCTGAAGAAGCCAGCATGTGTCTTGGCAAATGCCTGTGGAGTTGTCCCAGAACACATCAGAATGTCACTCACTCAAAGCAAATGCATTTGGCTGGAGTACAGAAATCCCACAGTGTTGTGAAAGAGAGACTTTATTATTGATAGTGTTCCCTGGTGATGTAGTTCAGGACAGACAAGTTCTGCTGGAGGATTTCATACACCCATTGCGAAATGAGATCCCTTGGAGCCAGTCTTGAGGGTGTTGCCTTTTCCCTTCAGAGGAGCTCAAACACAGCTCTCATCCAGATATGGCAGCCAGAGGCACAAGGAAGAAATGAGTTCCTTGTGTCCAGGGTTTGAAAGGCCCCTGTTCAGATGAACTGTACAAAAAAAAGACGTTGTGGTGTGGGGAGCAGGACCAGGACTGGCAATGCTGGCTGGCCAGAGCCAGTACCCATCACCTGGCAGGTCCTGGAGAGCAGGCTGCAAGGCTGAGTGCTTGGTCAGAATGTTTGCTTTCTTAATGCCGTTTTTTCAGGGGTAGAACTTGCCTTGGTGCCTTTCAGAAAACTACTTTCACTGGGACCAAAACCTCCATGAGCTGACTACAAATGGATTTGTCTTCCCCAGGCTGTCTGTCCAGCTACTTGCATCGCCTAC